CCACAACAAACTATAATAGAATACGAAAAATTGGGATCCATTGAAATGAATGGCAGTGCAACGCACCTCCTGCAGCAAAATTTGTCAGGCTGAACTGAAAATGAATTTTTCCTACCTTTTTATTTATGTACATACAATTATTAAACAGATATAGATATCTATATCTATCTATATCTATATATATATATGTATAGCTTTTTAATAATTGTATGTATTATATTACACATTTTATTTTAATTAGTTTCATGGATTTAAAATAATGTGAATTGTAAAACTAAGCCAATATAATAAAAAAAACTTTTATTTAAAATGACACACCAAAAAAAAGTATTTTTTAGTTCAACTTTTTTTGTTTGCATTTTTAATTTTTATTTAATTTTTTTTGTCTTTTTAATTTTAGTTTTAACTTTATTTTAAACTTTTTTTTAAACTCTATTTTAACTCTATTGCTGGGAGCAATAGCCAGCCTGCTATTGGATATTTCAAATTGCAATAGCAGGCTGGCTATTGCACCCGCCCACTGCTTGTTGTCAATCAGCAGAGGAGGACCTGATGGAGAGCTTTCTTCTTCAGGTACCTCCACTGCTGATAGGCAGTGGGCGGGTGCATTAGCCAGCCCGCTATTGCATTTTAAAATATCCTAAAGTAGGCTTTGTATAGCTCCCAGCCTGTAGATGCAGAGGCGGCACAGGGCGGCAGCGCAGGTACGGAGGGCAGCAGGGGAATGCAGTCACAGCGGTCTCTCCTCCCCACTGGTGCCGGCTGCAGTGGTCTGTGTCCCCGCTGCCTCTACTGATACAGGCAGGGAGAGCAGCGGGGATTGAAAGGAACACAGACCGCTGCAGCCAGCACCAGCGGACAGGAGAACAGAGGAGCAGACCGGCAGCAACTAATTGTAAATCAACTAACGATGATGTGAATCGTTGCCAACGCTTCTCATTATCGATTTATAATTGATTTTAATTGATTCGTTGTTGCAGCCCTAGTGGGGTTTTACACTTTATTGCTGGTTGGCTGCCCAAACTTCAAAAAGGCCATAGCACAGATTCCCTTTCTGGATGACATTGGTGCTATTTTGGACAAATGGCAATGTGGGCAAGAGCATTGTATCTGCTCCAGTCTTGCAAGGCCCGGGAACAGTGAAAAAAATAGACTTTTTCTCTGCACACATGCTGTCCATTTATTCACAACAGCCTCTTCCAAGGCTTCAAGGTCCTCCAAACCAAAATATTCAGCTAATTCTAAACAGCATTCACATTTAAAGTCTTCCAAACCTGCGGGTGCTGTCACCGGGTGCAGGAGGTTGGAGCCACAAGCTATTAGGCTTTAAATCCGCCCCTCTCAGGAGGTTTTTGCTGTGAGTCTTCACCCATTCTCTCAGTAGGGGAATGTTGATGGGTTGCGGTCTCATTGAGTACACGTTTCCATATGGTTATCTCTTTTGCGGTACAAGAAGGACAACCTGTTTGCATGGAGTCTCACAGTGTCACCGGAGTGGCATTTGTGCATTATCAAAACTGGAGCAGAAGAATCTGGGGCATTTGCCTGTGGCAACCAATCGGTTTCTCTTTCCAATTTGTTCAGTTAAGGTTTGAAAATGAAAGGTGGATGCTGATTGGTTGCCATGGACAACTACTCCAGATTCTCCCTCCACCATTATTGATAAATTCCCCTCCATGAGTCTAGCAGATGGGTGGAAGATGGAACATGTCCGTTGCAAGGCAGAACAATGGGTTGTGGCCCCCTCTGTGGCTCACATTCCTGGTGTAGAAAATTGGCAAACAGATTCTCTATGCATCTGTGTCTTGATCCTGGGCAATGGTGTCTTCAGCAGGAGGTGGTTTACTAAATCTGTTTAAATTGGAGATTTCCAAACATAGATCTGATGGCTTCCCATTTCAACAGGAAACTGGACACCTTTTTAGATCAACGGAACCAATAGCATATATGGAGGATGCTTTGGTGACTTAAGGTGAATGTTACACTCTGATCTACATGCTCCCCACCTTGAGGTTTCACCCATGGCTGCTTCAGTGGATCAGGCTGGAAGGTACCTCCGTTAACCTAAGCACTCCAGATTGGCCACCGAAGGCTTAATACTCGGATCTTGTTTGTCTGGTGACAGATGCTACCTGGTAGCTGCAACACTGACTGAACCTTCTATCTCAAGAGCTGAATATTCTTCCTCGTTGCTGGCATTAACAGCATGGCTATTGAAGCCCAGGTGTTAAGCTAAATAGGGGGTGCTCTGAAGTTGTGATTGTCACAATGCTTTAGGCCCATTAACTTTCTTATAAGGTTTACCATCGCATCTGGGCAGTTTTTTTCAAATAGTGTGAGTCTCTGGTGGTCAGTCCCTGTTTTGTTCCATCAGCCAGGTCTGAGTACCGTTAAATCTGCTTATATTTTGCCTTCCTTGGCTCTTACCTTCCTCTTGTCAACATGATGATGAAATATTTAATTACAATATTTGTTTTTAAATAAAACCTGTTCTTTTATCTAATTTTGTAACCAAATTATCTAGGGTAGATGTAGCTACATCAGTGAATGATAGCTTCAGACTCAAAGGTAATCCAACTATGTGATTACCTGCTTTTATGTTTTAGGTTGCAGGGTCTTGCCTATGTTTAGCAAAATCCTTACAGCACCACACTGGGAATGGGTTTGGATACCCTACTGTCAGGAACGTAGAACTAATGCCCATAGCATAAGGAGGGCTCGAGTTACTACACGCATTATGGCACGCAGAAACGTGCATAGCGACAGACGAGCAGTAACTGCGCGTGTGCAGCGTGCGCATAATCACGTGCAACGTGCACATAATCACGCGCAACGTGCGCATAATAGCGTGCAACGTACACGTGTGCACGCGCCCAGTGCACGAATTGGCGCTAATCGGCCTATTTAAACCCCAAGCAGCAACTGATAGTTGCTGGAAGATCTCAGCTGTACCTGTACCTGTGTTCCTGTATCTGAATCCGGTGACTGACCCGGCTTGCTCCTGTTTCCTGTTGTCTGCTGCCTGCCCTGCCTTCTGACCTCGGCTTGTCTGACTATTCTCCTGATTCGGCTCCGATCTGTCTGGTTCTGACCCGGCTTCTACTGACCACGTCTACCATCCGGATTCTCCTGGCCTGCCAGCCGCTGACCCAGTCCGCCTGAATCCTACATCTGGCATCCTGCATCTGGCAGCCTGAATCCTGCATCTGGCTTCCTGCATCCGGCTTCCTGCATCTGGCTGCCTGAATCCGGCTTCCTGCATCTGGCTGCCTGAATCCTGCATCCGGCTTCCTGCATCTGGCTGCCTGAATCCTGCATCTGGCTGCCTGCATCCGGCTTCCTGCATCCTTACCAGCAGGTGATCAGCATCCACAGGCACTGGTGTCTCTCTACGTCCGTGCGCTACCTGTGCCATCTCCAGGGGTGCTCTGACGAGAGTTACAAGAGGAGCCTCCCTCATCATTCAGACCATACCAGGTACGTGACACCTACACATAGAAGAATGAAGAAGCATTCTGTTTTTACCCACTGTAAAACTGATTCATTGTTGGCCTGCTACCATGGTTCTGTTATCTGAGAAGGATGTGTCCCTTCTCCCTTTGTTCACTACTTGCTACAACAGGCTAAAGCTGGCTATACACTTCTCTAGCCACCAGCTGCTGTCAGAATACCCAAACAGAGATTTTCTGACTGGCTCCTTCAATCAGCTGATCAAGGGATGCCGGCTGAAAGGGTGCACATTTCGTCCGGTCTCTCAAGAACCATGTGTGTATGACCACCTTTACCCTGTGATTTTTATTTTTTTTGACTCGGCAATTGTTCAACAGAGGTGTGATACAAGGTACGAATATGTATTTAAAAATCTGAAGAATCATAAATATTATAGACAGGGCTCGAAAAATCCGCTCATCTGTGACGAGCAGACAGTGGAGCTCGACGAGCAGCTTCCCGGCCGGCCGTTGAGCCGGGAGCTTTACAGTCAAGCGATCGGACGTCTCTAGAGACGCTCGATCGCTTGTATCAGAAGCTGTCACTGCCGTTGCCGGTCCCGAGTGCTCTGCCTCTAGATAGGCAGAGCCAGCTGTCACTCACGCAGCTGGGTGGATCCAGACATAATTGTCGGGATCCGCTTCAGCTGCGGCGTCTCAGTATACCGCTGAGCTTAGGGTGACGGGAGGACGCTAATTTGTGTCCTGCCGTTACCCTAAGGAAAACTATGGGGAAAAGCGCTAACCCCATAGTTCTCCTTTAATCACTGATAACACTAAACTGATGAACAGTAAAAGCATTTTAATCGTTGCCTATGGGCGTTTTTTGCGATATTTGCGGGCGCACGCAATTTTAAGGCTTGACATGTTTGGGGTCTATTTACCCGACGTGACCCTGACTTTTATGTTTTACTAAAAATATGGGTAAGAATAAATGTTTTATAACATAACGTAGGGAAACTTTTTTTTTTACATTTATGGTACTTTTTAAATTATATAGTTAAACAAATACTCCCCATGGTGATTATATACCTCCAAAAGAAAGCTCTATCTGTCCCCAAACTTTTTTAACATAAATTGCAAGGCTATAGTCCGGTCATGCTGACTGGTGAAATTTTTGACTGACTGGTGAGACACTATCAAATTTTTCAAGCCCTGATTATGGAGCAAATTGGTAAAATTGTGAAAGCAAGTTCAAACACTCCTTTCAGGTAAAATTGCAATAGCATTGCTTGCTAACCAAAATACCAAATTGTAGATGCAGGTGTTGAAATTTTGATGCAGATTTGGTTTTGTACTAGGAGAGTTGGTCTTCGCCACATTCCCTGTATTGGAGAGGTGAGTATGTAGTCAAGGGGTTAAGCTTACAGGTTGGGGGGACAGTGACAAAAACAGGGATTTTGTTTTAATCTTACCCTTTGCTTTTAAGGCATGTTTGTCTTTTTGATTGAATCCAAAAATATAACAAATTTCTTTTCAAAACTAAATCTGCCTTGTATCCTTTGTCTCTAGGTGGAGCAAGTCAGTCAGCTTTCAGCATTGGTGGAAGCGCAGTTGGATTATCACAGGCAAACTGTGCAAATTCTGGATGAATTATCTGACAAGTTAAAGGACAGAGTTCGTGAAGCCTCCTCTAGACCTAAAAGAGAATATAAACCTAAGTCCACAGAAACCTATGATTATTCTGACAATGAACAGTCCAACGGTGGAATCTCATGCAACTCTTCAGTCAAGGCACCAGGTATCAGTGATGTACACCAGACTAAGGGGCCTGTTCACACCAGTATGGTGCGTTAATTGCACAGTTCCGTGCAATTAACACACGCTACTGTGCAACACACCTACCTTGCAAAACAGTGCAGGGGGTGCATTATGTTGCAATATATGTGAATGGCACCCCAAATGCGCGCATGCGCTACTTTTTCATTCACAATGCATAGTATTGTGCGTTGCGGCAGGGTCGAGCCGTTGCAGGTGGGAGGGTGCCATTCCAATAAATGGCAACTCACCTCCCGCACTGTAATGCATGGTAGGTGCATTGTGCGGTAGTGTGTGTTAATCACAGGGAAGCATGCAATTAACTCACCGCATTAGTGTGAACCGGAACGAGCCCTAAACAGCATTTCATCAAGTGAAATTTATTTTTAAAAGCTTTTAGGTCTATAGGGCACCCATGCACTGGCTGATTATTTTTTTTTTAGAAGCAATGCCTTCCATTAATCAGGTATACAAAGCAGCCTTGCAAACATGAATAAACACTTACGAGTGTTGAAGATGCTTGTTCTTGCTTGCAAGTACTTTCCAATGTGTTTGAAATGGGAATGATCTTTTCTCTCCAAGTACTTCTCTTTATAATGTGCATGAGGCAGAGCTTGCTACAGGTTCAGCAGTTCTGAGAATTCTTCAATGCTTATTAGAGCTCTCATCTTGGTCTGTTATCTGCCCATCTATGGCCAAACGTTGTACTTCAAGTATGCATTATTTAGCTAAGCCATTCAAGTACCAATTGTAATGTTCAGAGTGCTGCAACCAGTTATATTAGAATATTATTTCTGATGGTTTGCTAATCATTACCATACTTTTCTTTTTGTTATGTTGAACAGTACCAATGAACTATTTGAGTTTCCTATTTTACTTGGCAGTCATTCTGTTATGGAAATGTCATTATACACCATAGAGTAAGGTCAGTAAACAAAAAGATTTAGTGGAATGCAGGATAATAGCACGTTAATTAGTATGTACCCAGAGTCTTTTGTGTGAACTTACAGGGCTAATTTGTGCATTGGAATATTTTTCATATTTCACATGCATACTTGTTCTTGTCACAGACCTGGGACAAGTTTGCTGTAAATGAGTGTCAGAAATGACAAGATTCCTTATCTGTATACTTGTTCCAGGTCAGAGACTTAAAGTATTGAAGCCTCAGCATCACCCAGTCAACAAACATTCTTAAAGGAGGAGAAGTCACTTTAATAGAGGCTAGAATTTCTAAGTAGTGGACTAACTGTTGCAGAATAATTGATTTGGATTTGAAGTTATTATAAGAGGACGTTGCTATCAGTGGATCCAAAAAGAGTTTGCTTTGCATCACAGGACATGCATCCAGTGTCACCTTTAACCACTTCCAGCGGGTGCCCAATCGCTTGTACAGTATGCTGCATGTTTCTGTGCGCTCTCCTCATGGTCGCTGTCCCCACGATCCCGGGCGTCCAAACCTGGGATGGGCGATGTGGCTCCGTGTACAGAACAGAGGGAGATCAGTACACTCCCTCCGCTCTCCTCCCCGGTCTCTGAATGCGGGAAGTGATGTTTACTACATCACTTCCACATTCCTCTGTCACTCTCCGATACAGAAACCGGAGAGAAGCTGATTAAGCAGATCTGTGCTACATCAGCTTCTCTGGGGGTCCCTAGGTGACATTAGGGGTCTTAGAGGTCTTAGTAAAGGGGACCTGTCACTGTAATTTGATATCACATAGGGGGATTCTTATCCTCTATGTGATAACAATAAAGTTAAGTGTAAAAAAAAAAATTGGTCACAAAATAAAATTTACACACACACGAAAAAAAGCCCCCCATGTAGATGCGCAAATATGCGTTAGGTGCGCCTACACGCAAAACGACGATTGCGCCAATTATGCAGCACATGTTACATATCGCCACGAACGTCACAGTGAGAGCAATAATTCTAGGGCCATCAATCACTGATAACACTGAACTGATGAGCTGCAAAATCTTTTAAAGCATCGCCTATGGCCAATTTTGGGTATGGTAGTTTTCTGCAATTTTGCGGGCGCCCGCAATTTTATGGTTTCACATGTTTGGTTTCTATTTACCCGACGTGACCCCGTCTTTTATATTTTACCAAAAAATTGGGTAATAATAAATGTTTTCTAACATAATAAAGGGAAAACCGTTTTTTTCTTTTTTTCTTTTTCCCTGTACTTTTTTCATTATATAGTAAAAATAAAATAAAAACCCCAGTGGTGATTTAAATACCACCAAAAGAAAGCTCTATCTGTCCCCAAAAAATGGTATAAAATTCATTTCAGTACAGCGTTGCATGACGGAATAAATGTCAAAGTACCGCAGCGATAAATACTGAAAAATGGCCTGGACAGGAAGGGGGTGTAAACACTGCGGTCAGCAAGTAGTTAAAGAAACAGATGAAAACATTTTTTTGCATCTTTAATGTTTTTTAAGTCCCCTGCCCCCCACATGCACGTACCTACAACGCAAACACGCGTCGAATGCGTCTACGTGCAAAAACAAAAAATTGTGCCACGCATGTTACATATCATCGCGAGCATCGGAGTGAGAGCAATAATTCTAGGCCCATCAATCACTGTTAACACTAAACTGATAAGCCGTAGAAGTGTTTAAAGCGTCCCATATGGGAAGTTTTGGTTCTTGTCGTTTTTTTGTTTTTTCACGGATGCACGCAATTATAAGGCTTGACATGTTTGGTATCTACTTACCCGACATGACCCCATCTTTTATATTTTACCCAAAAATTGGGCATTATATTCTATTTCTGTGCACTAAATGTATGGCTGCAACAACTAAACGACTAAATTGATTATAATCGATTTATTGAAAAAGTTGTTACTTTTTCAATCCATCGAATAATCTGCTTCCGATTGGTTGGCCCTGTTCACGGCTCCACGCGCTGCGCGCCGCACCTCCTCCCCGCCTCACGCTCACCGCCCGCCACATCCACGATCAGCATGGTGATCTATAATGTATTGCTGGGATTTGTATTCCTCTATAGCTGATGGTACATTGTGCTGTATATGTATATTATACAGCACAATGTACCATCAGCTATAGAGGAATACAAATCCCAACAATACATTATATAGTGTATGTATAATGTATTGCTGGGATTTGTTGTATTCCTATATAGCTGGTGGTATTCTGCATTGCGCTGTATAGAGGACTACTGCCGAATGCCGGTGCAATGCCGAATAGCACTAGCTATAGAGGACTACAAAAACCAACAATAGTACATTATACAGCGCAATGCAGAATACCGCCAGCTATAGAGGACTACAAAACCCAACAATAGTACATTATACAGCACAATGCAGAAAACCGCCAGCTATAATGTACTATTGCTGAGATTTGTTGTGTTCGTCGATAGCTGGTGGTATTCTGCATTGTGCTATTGCTGGGTTTTCTAGTCCTGTAGAGCCGGTGCCATTCTGCATTCATTGCTGTATAATTTTACACTTTTCATTTCACTATATTGCACACCACACTTTTTTTTTTTTTTCTTTTTTAATTCCACCGCTCCAAGCTTGCTCCTGTGATGGACTACAATCTCAATACAAACTAGTAGTCCATCACTAGAGCCATTTTTAAAAATGTATTTTAATTTTATTTTTTATCCGATTAACTGATTAATCAAACTTAATAATCGGCTAACGAATCGATTTTGAAAATAATTGTTACCTGCCTAAATTTAATTTCATTGTATTTTATCCTAAAAAACTTGCTTGATAAACAAAAAATTGCCACTAGCTCCTTTTTTTTCTACAGGGCCTCTGCTTTCAGAAAATATATAATTGTTTGGGGATCTGAAGCTGTTTTCCAGCTAAAAATTCCGATTTTATTATGTGTGTGCAAATGTAAGAAATTGCTCCGGGAAGCAAGTGGTTAAAGCATCTGCTGACAAATGGTGACTAAATATAGTCTCTGGCGTTCTTAACTTACATCTCCGAGGTCTGCTGTCTTTTAAGACTATTGTCTAAAAACAAAATTACGTGGTGTTTTTAGAACGAGCCAAACTGTGTTTTGAATAAGTAATTTGGGAAAAGGACTGCTGTCTGTAGAGGGCTTGCATGAACTATTTTTTTAATCTCTGGCACATTTTCTCGCAAGAGAATCTGAGCTGTGTTATTCAGATGTGCTGGAGGGAGATATTTGCAATGTTACGATTCAGTACTGCACCATTTAAAAGCCTTGCGTTTTTACTAGGAACCAACATTTACTCTTTAAGGGCTCGTTCACATCCGTAGCGATGACTGACTGGTGTTTTACAGCAATTGGACAGCACCAGTCACCATTCACACTACAACATAGCGTGTTGTGTGCTGCAAAAAAAAAATGCAGACTTGCTTAAATATTTAGCATTGCATTTTGTCGCACCTCAGGTCACTACGCTGCTGTGCGGAGACCTGAATGAGCATTCTCCCAGCACAAAACAGCACTGCCGGGCATACACATATATGTGGCAGCACAGCATAACACCCACCACCGTGCTGCCACATATATACATTTGGCTAGAGTTGAGGACAGACGCACCAAAGGTACTGCACATAGCATATGATGTAAATTAGATCTGTATTAAGGTGCCCATACACCTTACAATTATCTGCAGATTTTCTGTGGCCAGATGGTTAACTGTGTGGATGGAGGAATCCCCCACTGGGTCAAGCTTCCGTAATCTTGCTAGTTGGCCCCGCTGGCTCTCAAAACACCTGAACAATGTCTGCATCCAATCAGATTGTTCAGTTATTTAAAGAGCCAGCGGGGCTGACTAGCAAGATACTGAAGCTTGGCCCAGTGGGAGATTCCTTCATCCACACAGTTAAGTGTAGATGAAGGAATCTGTTGCACCTTTTCCATCGGACCACAGAAAATCTGCAGATAAGTGTAAGGTGTATGGTCAGTCTTAGACCATACAGGTCTGAGGTTAGTCTCAACACTTGTGCTGAAGTAAGAATGCTACTCGTAACC